CTCATATATGGCACTGATAGTTGGCACTGATTGGTTGCACTGACTGGCACTGTTAGGTGGCACTGTTAGGTGGCACTGACTGGCACTGATAGGTGGCACTGAAAGGCAGCTCAAAAGGGCATTGATAGGGCTACAGTGATCATCAGGGCACACTGATCATCAGTGCCCTGATGATCAGTGTAGATGTCCCCTCTGAGTAATGCCGATTATCGGCTCTCCTCACAAGCTGTCAGCGTGACAGCTTGTGAGGAGAGAAATGCTGGTAACCGCCATTTCCATATTTACATGCGATCAGCTGTGATTGGACACAGCTGATCACATAACAGAGCCAACGTCATCGGCTCTTTCTGTTGATCGGTGACACGCGGTTAGAGTGGGAGGACGTCATATGCCGTCCTCCCAGAACGAGAGAACCACCTTGCGTCTGTCATTTCCTTATATGGCGGGCGGGAAGAGGTTAAAGTCTATAGAACCAAACAAACAACGTTTTGCGTTCAAAAAAGGCCTTGACCCTTTCCAAAAAACGCACCGGGTAAAAACACAGAGATGTGTCCCATAGGAAATCAAGTTAAATGGATTGTTCTGCATTTCTGCAAAACGATAAATGCTGCAGGAAACGCTTAGGTGTGAATCTAGAGTTAACGTGCATAGCTGCCTGCCTCCAGGGGCACACACCTGTTCCTACATGCAAGTAAACACTCAGACGTGAGATTACCCGTGTACCGCAGCAGCCTGTCATTGATTTGTACCACATCTATCACACTTGAGTGCACAAATATGCTTGTTTGTTTACAGTGTATGGCTCTCTGTGTCCGTCTGAAGGAGCCTTTACTGTTATCCAGGTCTCTATTTAAAAGATTTCCCCCCACCCTATGATACCAGTTTTATCAGACAGGTAGTGAGGGAAAATCAACAGCAAAACAGTGAGAAATAACTTTTCTTTAGCAGAGTAGAAGACTACAACCCCGGTGAGATGTATATTCCTGTCTGTGTCTCTGTTGCAGATTTTCCCTCACTTCCTGTCTGGGTTGCCACTGTGACAACAAGGGATGAGCCTGAGCTGAGAAGCTGTCAAAGTTGACAACAATCATAGGTGGTGGAGGCATTCCTCCTCCCACAGACATATGCATGCAAGGGGTGTGTATATGTGCAGCTGTGGGGGGGGGGGGGGGCTCAGACTCTTGTCCAGTGACAACAAATGAGGGATAACCTCTCTAAATCTGTACATACTCTGTATAATCTGACAGTCTCTGTACAATCTCCCTTAGATTCCCCATACACGTTACTGACAATACAATGTTTATACAGACTTTAGAATTACCAAAACTATGTAACGTGAGCCTCTACCTAAGCTATCCAATCAGTTTGAATCAGGCAGGCCCTTACACTGGATAGTTGTTAATAGATCTAAAGAATCGATCAGATTGTATAGTGTATGGTCAGAATCGATGAGCTTAGATGTGATCAGATCCTAATCTGAACCCATGTGAGTGAACCCACCAGAAAGCTGTCATTTGATTGCGATTGGGGTATTCCCTGCCATGCAGCCACATGTATAAATGTATAAAATGGGGATTGTGGGAGAGTGTGGCTGTGGGGCAGGTAATGCCCTGGTCGCAGATGATTTGCCCAGTACAAATAACAGCTTCCTGGTGGGCTTGCTCATGTGGGTTTGCACTGTGGTCCGATCATGCCTGAGCTCATCATTACTGACCATACACTATACAACCTGATTGTATAATCTTCTTTAGACTTACCGTCAGCAGTGTAATGCAAGATCCTGTTTGATTTGATGACTTTTATGGTTTGTTTAGTTTGCGTAAGTTTAAAATAGAAGAAAACTGTAACTATACCTACTCCTAAAAACACCCCCACTCCTCCTTCTACCTGTTCTGCCTAACCTGTATATAAGAAAACAGATATGTGTACTTCCTATTTTCAGTCTGCTCTGATCCAGTCGTGTGATCCTGCAGCTCGGTGTAAGGGATCGCTCAACAGCAGCTGTGAAATCTGGGAGCCGTGATGTCACCCATACGCCCTGGTGACCCAGCCGTTGTTGGTGCTCCCTCCATTCCCCTGCAGGTGCTGCTCTCTCACACGGGAAGCCAGAGCTGCAGGATCATGTGGTCAGATCTAAAAATGGGTCCGTACACACATCTTATTTTATACAGGTTAGGTAGCGGGGAACATTCCTAAGAATATTTATAGTTAGGGTTTTCACACCACATGCATTCCAGTACTTTTTTTTCTGCATCAGAAACACATAGAACACATAGAAAATAGGTTACATGGTTTTCCATGGCACACCAGTGCTTGCAGTGCCAGTGCGTTCCAGTTAAAAAAAAAGTAGAACATGCCACATTTTTCCCGCAGAGAACTGTACTGGAATGCGGTAAAACGCATAAAAAACACACATGCATAAAAACATGTACTGGACCCTAGTACAGTGGGAAGAAAAAACAGGCAAAAAACGCATCAAAAATAAGCTAAAAATGTGCATGCAGAAATGCATCCGGAATGGATCTGGAGTGCGTTTTTGTGTAGTGAATGGGCCCTAAAGGAGATTGTACAATCATTGGGTATGGTTACCCTATAGGACCTGGGATAGGAGTAAAACCTGACAGGGGTTTTAATTTTAACCAAAAAGAAGAAAAAAGAAGGTTTTGGCTGAACATAAACTTTAAGGGCTAGTTCACACCAAAAACGCATGGACAGTAGATTATATGGGTTCCAGTGGCATAGTTCACACCAGTGCAGTCAGTTTCAGTGCGTTCCAGTGCAGAAAAAAAAAAGTAGAAGATGCAGCACTTTTTCTGCACAGAACTGTACTGGAATGTGGCAATACGCATCAAAAATGCACCAGAATGCATCATAAGAAAAAAAACAGGAAACCTTGGGGAAAAAAAGGAGGGGAAAAAAATGCACTGTAACGCATTGAAAACACATAAAAAAGGCACAAACAGAAATGCATCTTAAGCCAGTTTTTGTGGTGTGAACAGGCCCTAAAGAAAAGGTTTGGGGTTACTGAAAAAAAAGACACACTCTCTCCTCTGTGCTGTAACATCGCTGTGATGCTGCATCTGTTCCCCCTTCAGCTCTAAGGGCTCTTTCACACGGGGCAGACCATTTAGTCGATCCGCTTGCTCAGCAAAGGATTTCTCCCGCTGAGCAAGCGGATGACAGCTCTGTGTCCCCTCCGCTGCTGCAGAACAGACACAGAGCTGCTCGCCCTCCTCAGTGGGCGGTTGGATGATAACGGACCGCCTGTCTGTTTTCATCTGATCCAATCTGATGGACGGAAGGGGAATTGGATCCCCATCCATACCTTTTTGGTGGATCGGATGTCTGTGGGTGTAAACAGACATGTCCGTTTACACCCACCACTCCATAGAGGAGAATGGAGGTTCCGATCAGGTCCACCTGCAAAATGGGCAGGTGGACCCGATTGGAACATACGTGTGATATGGCCCTAAGGGTCCTTTCACACAGGCGTCCCATTTTTTTCAGCAGTTCAGTCACGTTTTTCCCAAGAACAAACGGATCAATTCGCATCAGTTTTTCATCAGTTTATGGAAGTTTTTCACCAGTTCATGTTAGGGTTTCATCAGTTTACTTCAGTTTTTCATCAGTTTACATCCGTTTTTCATCAGTTCACGGCAGTTTTTCATCAGTTCATGTCAATTTTTCAGCAGTTTATGGCAGTTTCCAATCAGTTCACGTCAGTTTTTCATCAGTTTATGGCAGTTTTTCATCAGTTCACATCCGTTTTTCATCAGTTTATGGCAGTTTTTCATCAGTTCACGGCAGTTTTTCATCAGTTTACATCCATTTTTCATCAGTTTATGGCAGTTTTTCATCAGTTCATGTCAGTTTTTCAGCAGTTTATGGCAGTTTCTCATCAGTTCACGTCAGTTTTTCAGCAGTTTATGGCAGTTTCTCATCAGTTCACATCAGTTTTTCATCATTTTATGATAGTTTTTCATCAGTTTACATCAGTTTTTCAACAGTTTATGGCAGTTTTTTATCAGTTCACGTCAGTTTTTCATCAGTTTATGGCAGTTTTTCATCAGTTTACATCCATTTTTTACATCCTTTACCAATGTAAAAACGGGTCGTATGTCCCTTTACATCCGTTTTTTGTCTGTTTACATCTGTTTTTCATCTGTTCCGTTTTTTCTGCGGACGTTAACAGATGTAAACAGATGATCATCCGTTTACATCTGCTAGTCCAATGAAATACATGGATATCCAATTTTCATCTGTAAACGGACAGATGAAATACGGACAAAGAGAACGTGTGAAAGGGGCTGAAGACTGATCACATGACCACTGATCTCTCAGTTCTCGGTCTGCTCAGAGCGGAAAGTGGGGCCTGTCAGTCACCGCTCTATGCTCTGCCCCTCTGGGTAGGAAAAGGAGCGGGTACTAGCGCTGAGCCATCTGTCAATCAGACAGCGGGGTGGATCCTGACAATTTGGTCGGGATCCTTCCAGAGCCTCGAGTGGCATCAGCTGGCAGCGAACTTTAGTCCATGGTCAGTTGATTCTGGGTCACGGGAAAGCACAAGTAAGTGTACTCCTTGACCCACAAGAGAAATATGGCCACAACAGCATTGGTGATACTACTCTGTTAAACATGGCGTATGGAGGGACGGCAGCCTGCGTCTATGGAACGCTCCCCAAATCCTCGGTCAGCATGTCCTCAGGGATCTAAGTAGGGATTAGTGTAATAAGAGCTGACCTCGACATAATCCACACACTGTATACCGACCATATACCTCCTATTAGTCATTGCCTGCATGTGAAATATACTAGATTTCAGCAGACATCACAACACGCTCCTAATCACATCATTCCTTCTTCTCCATCTCCTCCCCACTACACACAACAGCCCGACTTCTCCAGCACTCCCGGAGTGTTCTATATTCCAGAGATCTCTGCAGGAGCCAGCCTACACCTCGCTCCCAACAAACAGGGATACAGAAGAGCCATCAGGATTACCGTCTTTAGCGAATCCTCCGCCATCACTATCAGGATAAGGTAGCGGCTTAGTCTCCAAGGTAACTGTAGGCAGATCACTTCCGGTGTGCATGTGTGATGAGACTCCTCCGGGAACACAGCCTGCGGTGGAGACGTTCCATAGCATTCTGTTCTTCCCAGGGCTCAGCATAGGCAAGCTTCTTCCTGACACGTCTCATTGTTTTACCATGATAGCAAAAGTGTTTACAAAGTGGGCTTGTATGTAGAATGGAGGGAAACCTACAAGGAGAAAACATGGGGGCTGCCATTGCCGAGCTTTATTTCTTCTTCACTTCAAGTCCGGGCACTTTCACCCCCTTCCTGCCCAGGCAACTTTTCAGCTTTCAGTGCTGTCACACTTTCAATGACAATTGCGCGGTCATGCAACACTGTAGCCATATGAATTTTGTAGCATTTTTTTGAGACAGATAAAACTTTATTTTAGTGGTATTTATACACCACTGGGATTTAAATTTTTTTTGCTGTATAAATGAAAAAGTCCAAACATTTGGGAAAAAAAAGTGTTTTTCTTATAAAATTTTTGCAAATAAATAATCTTACTTTATAAATCTTGGCCAAAATGTATTCATCTATATTTTTTCTAAAACAAATAAATAACCTAAATTAGTTTATAACCAAAAATTATAATTTTTTTTACATTTTTATTTTCATGTTTTATATTATTATTAATATTATTATACAGTATTTATAAAGCGCCAATAGTTCGCTCAGCGCTGTACATTACAAAGGGGGACAGAACAATACCAATACAATGTGATACACAAGGGGTTCGAGGGCCCTGCTCTTTCGAGCTTACAATCTAGGAGGGAGGGGATGGTGGCACAGGAGGAGATAGCTGTGGGGGATGGAATGGTAGGAAGAGTGGCGGAGGTCGGGAATTAGCAGGGGGTGGGGTAGGCTTCCCTGAAGAGGTGGGTTTTCAGGGTGCGCCTAAAGGAGAGGAGAGTAGGTGATAGTCTGATGGGTTGGGGCAGGGAGTTCCAGAGGATGGGTGACACCCTGGAGAAGTCCTGGAGGCGGGCATGGGAGGAGGAGACCAGGGAACTAGAGAGAAGGAGGTCTTGTGAGGAGCGGAGTGTGCGTGCTGGGCGGTACTTGGATATTAGGTCAGTGATGTAGTTCAGGGCAGTATGGTGGACAGCTTTGTACGTCAGTGTTAGGATTTTGAATTTGATCCGTTGTGCAATCGGAAGCCAATGGAGGGATTGGCAGAGGGGGGGGTGGCGGAGATGGAGCGGTTGGAAAGGTGAATGAGTCTGGCAGTCGTATTCAGGATCGACTGAAGCGGGGATAGCCTGTGGCGAGGCAGGCCAGTGAGGAGGGAGTTGCAGTAGTCGAGTCGTGATATGATGAGGGAGTGGATGAGCTGTTTAGTGGTTTCTGGGGTTAGGAATGTGCGGATTTTGGCGATTTTTGCGGAGGTGGAGTCTGCATGAGTTTGTTAAAGATTGGACTTGGGGCTGGAAGGATAGGTTGGAGTCCAGAATGACACCAAGTACTCTGGCCTGCAGGGCGGGTTTGATGGTGGCGTTGTTGGATGTGACGGAGAAGTTTTATATTATTTTTTTTTTTTTAACATACTGTCACCCTAGCAGTACAGTGCCACCATAGTGACACTGTACTACTTGTGGGGGGTAAATATAAATGGGTATATGAGCGCTAGGTAGTAGTTTCAGTTATAAGCAGCTGGCATAAAGGCAAAACCTCTGAACCTTCTGTATAAAACTCCTCAGTAAATGCAGCGCTATAATTCTATACAAATATTAAATATGCAAGGTATGTAGTAAAAATTCCGAACATACGCTGTAGAGCGCTCAAATACAGTTGCAAGAAAAAGTATGTGAACCCCTTGGGATTACGTGGCGTTTTGCATGAATTGGGCATAAAATGTGCTCTGAACGTCATCTAAGTCACAACAATAGAAGAACACAGTCTGCTAAACATAATACTACACAAACATTAGATGTTGCCATGGATTAATTGCACATAACATGTAAACATTCACAGTGCAGGGAGGAAAAAGTATGTGATCCTTTGGACTTAATAACTGGTTGACCCTCCTTTGGCAGCAATAACCTCAACCAAACGTTTTCCTGTAGTTGCAGATCAGACCTGCACAACGATCTGGAGTAATTTTGACCACTCCTCTTCACAAAACTGTTTCAGTGTAGCAATATTCTTGGGATGTCTGGTGTGAATCGCTCTCTTAAGGTCATGCCACAGCATTTCAATAGGGTTGAGGTCAGGACTCTGACTGGGCCACTCCAGAAGGCGTATTTTGTGCTGTTGCAGCCATTGTTTTGTTGAATTACTTGTATGCTTTGGGTCATTGTCCTGTTGCATCACCCATCCTCTGCGGAGCTTCAGTTGGCGGACAGATGGTCGTACGTTTTCCTGCAAAAATGTCTTGATAAACTCTGGAATTCATTTTCCCATCAATGACAACAATCCGTCCAGGCCCTGAGGTAGCAAAGCAGCCCCAAACCATGATGCTCCCTCCGCCATGTTTTTACAGTGGGGATGAGGTTTTGATGTTGGTGTGCTGTGCCTTTTTTTCTCCACTCATAGTATTGTGTGTTCTTCCCAAACAACTCAATCTTGGTTTCATCTGTCCACAGTATATTTTGCCAGTAGTGCTGTGGAACATCCAGGTGCTCTTTTGCAAACTTCAAACGTGCTGCAGTATTCTTTTTGGACAGCAATGGCTTCCTCCGTGGTGTCCTCCCATGTACTCCATTCTTGTTTAATGTTTTCCTTATTGTAGATGTGTCAACAAAAATGTTAGCATGTGCCAGAGATTTCTGTAGGTCTTTAGCTGACACTCTGGGATTCTTCTTTACATGATGCAGCATTCTGCGCTGTGCTCTTGCAGTCATTTTTACAGGATGACCACTCCTAGGGAGAGTAGCAACAGTGCTAAACTTTCTCCAATTGTAGACAGTCTGTCTTACCGTGGACACATGAACATCAAGGCTTTTGGAGATACTTTTGTAACCCTTTCCAGCTTCATGCAAGTCAACAATTCTTGATCGTAGGTCTTCTGAGAGCTCTTTTCTGCGAGGCATGGTTCTCATCAGACAGTGCTTCTTGAAACCAGTAAACCCAAAACAGGTGTGTGTTTTTTAAGGGCAGGACAGCTGTCAGCAACACATCCAATATCATCACACTGATTGGAGTCAAGGTTGGCTCACTCCTGGCTCCAATTAGCTCTGGGAGAAGTCATTAAGCTAGGGCCTCACATACTTTTTCCTCCCTGCACTGTGAATGTTTACATGTTATGTGCAATTAAACCATGGCAACATCTAATGTTTGTGTAGTATTATGTTCAGCAGACTGTGTTCTTCTATTGTTGTGACTTAGATGACGTTCAGAGCACATTTTTAAGCCCAATTCATGCAAAACTCCACGTAATCCCAAGGGGTTCACATACTTTTTCTTGCAACTGTAAATGTGAGGAAAACGTCTAAAGAATGACGTTTAAAGTGCAAAAGTGACATAAATGGTTAATAACCAGTAAATAATCTTTTATAAGTCCAAATAATTCAGTGAATTCCGTGACTCCAGTGATTATGAATGAGTATACATTGCACTAACCAGACAGCGCAATATGATGCGCATTTGAGTAATCAGACCACATTCCTGGTCATCTGGAAAGGTGAGAATCAAGGGATCGTCTGGCAAACCACCGAAAGACAGGTAATCAGCATGTCATCACTCTCCAGGTATCAGTATTACTCATCCATCCAGCAGGGGGATCACACTCCAGGTATCAGAGATACTCATCCATCCAGCAGGGGGATCTCACTCCAGGTATCAGAGATACACATCCATCCAGCAGGGGGATCACACTCCAGGTATCAGAGATACACATCCATCCAGCAGGGGGATCACTCTCCAGGTATCAGAGATACACATCCATCCAGCAGGGGGATCACACTCCAGGTATCAGAGATACACATCCATCCAGCAGGGGGATCACACTCCAGGTATCAGGGATACACATCCATCCAGCAGGGGGATCACACTCCAGGTATCAGAGATACACATCCATCCAGCAGGGGGATCCCACTCCAGGTATCAGAGATACACATCCATCCAGCAGGGGGATCCACTCCAGGTATCAGAGATACTCATCCATCCAGCAGGGGGATCACACTCCAGGTATCAGAGATACACATCCATCCAGCAGGGGGATCACTCTCCAGGTATCAGGGATACACATCCATCCAGCAGGGGGATCACACTCCAGGTATCAGAGATACACATCCATCCAGCAGGGGGATCACACTCCAGGTATCAGGATACACATCCATCCAGCAGGGGGATCACACTCCAGGTATCAGAGATACACATCCATCCAGCAGGGGGATCCCACTCCAGGTATCAGAGATACACATCCATCCAGCAGGGGGATCCCACTCCAGGTATCAGAGATACTCATCCATCCAGCAGGGGGATCCCACTCCAGGTATCAGAGAGATACACATCCATCCAGCAGGGAGACCACACTCCAGGTATCAGAGATACACATCCATCCAGCAGGGAGATCACTCCCAATGGTAAGCACGGAGCACAAAGGAATCCACCTTGAAGGGGGGGGGGGGGGGCTCGCAATAAACCGAGCCCAAGCAGAAAGCTCTGATAGTGTAGTGTTTTTATTGAGAATAATGCACATCAAAGTAAAAAATTGCGCTCACATCTATTCTAGACAGTAGAAAAGATGGCCGCCAACCTTCCTCATGGCCTGTGTGGCGTGACGTCACCAACCAGGAGGCCATCTTTACTACTGTTTAGAACAGATGTGCGTGCAATTTTTTACTTTGATGTGCATTAATCCCCCTTCAAGGTGGATTCCTTTGTGCTCCGTGCTTATCATTGGGAGTGATCCCCTTGCTGGATGGATGTGTATCTCTGATACCTGGAGTGTGATCCTCCTGATGAATGGATGAGTATCCCTGATACCTGGAGAGTGATGACATGCTGATTACCTGTCTTTCGGTGGTTTGCCAGATGATCCCTTGATTCTCAA